CGTTGGCATACTGCACGTAACGATAGAGGGGCTGCGACATGGAGAATCTGGTGACGATAGAGACATTTGTGTACAATGCACATATTTTTCAGTAGTTAAAGGTTCGACATTGTCAAGCACTGAGTCGTCAGTTGTAGGGGTTAAAGATTTGGACCTTTTATTTGGCTTAGAAGTTGGTGAAATTCCTCTTTTACTGGAGTTATTGGACATGATATGAATATAAGTGAGCACAGTGCTCGTTAAATTAAATATAATATCTGAGTATTAGTTGTTATTAAGTATTAACCTGGTTAATACTAGGATTAGAGACTGTGAGTATATAATAAATTGCAGACCTATTTACGACTTAAGTCCGCAATAGGTACAATACGAACTGGTAATTGTCCGTCGAATAAAAGTAAGTTTTTTCTTATGTTCCGAGGTGAGATGTTCCCGATGTACAGGATAGGATGATAATCACAGTATAATACACCCTACAAAAGAGCAAGTCGAAGAATTCCTAAACCACGTGAAAAAATGTTACCACTTTCAAAGTTCGCGCTAGTTATTTAATATGGACAAAGAGAACGTTACATAAGTGTGACCAAGCCTGCAAGGCTGAGGCATGCGATCCGATCAATACGAACCCACTGAATTAATTCTTCCCGCCTTCTTCATCGTTTTGTTTTTCTCCACATTAAATGCTGAATATCCGTTTCCCAAATTATCTCGTGTTCAGCCTTCATGATTGTGTGGTTAGGGCCCAATCCCACTGCAATTTCATTGCGACGGAGGTTCCTCGGTAGTCTGTTCTACATGGTTGAGTGGCGAATAACGAAAAATTTTTGGCATACGTTTGTGTAGTTTTTCGGAATCGCTAGAATATTTTCCTCATTGAGTAGGTTGCGGGATGATATCACAGAGGACGAAGGGGTGGTGCAACGGAGTAAGAAATACCGTCCATAAACCAGTAGATAAAGACAAGGTTTAATTTGATACGTGTGATCCAGAGAGGTTTTAATTTGAGTTGTTGGCAACTTTGGTGATAATCCCTGTTGTCGGAATATCCCAAAACATCTTTAGTGAACCTTCTTTGAACACCTTCAATTCTTATCAGGTCATTATGCCTGCAACTACTGTAAACTGAAATACCGAATTTAAAAATAGATAAGATATGTTCTTTGTATAACAATAATCTCTATTCGAGATTATTGAAGTTATTCATTTTGAGTCCAATGAGCTTTATAGCTTTGGATACTTGGGATGCAATGTGCTCCGTCAGTCATGTCACCACGTATCAAAAGCTTACCGATCCTCGCCAGGAACAAAGACAACCAGCCATGGATTAATCCATACAGCAGCGGCCGCACGCAGTTTCTTTTACATACCCCTACTAATAAATTTCTGTGATATCACTATGTTCATTCTTCGCCATCATCAAAATGTCCGTAGAAGATGGATACGACGAAAGGGAGACCCACATTATACGTGGAACTCAAGGCATGGCTTCGACATAAGTTTTGAGACCATAACGTCCTCCCCCAGCTGGTAAAGACCTTCAACCATCGACATAATTCACTAGCATTGGTGATCTGCGTGCTAACTTATATCCCCTCACGCTAATAAAAACTAAATCACATCACTTTCCAAGTCGAAGTGCCATCAAAATTCGATACTTTATAGATTGCCTGGCGATTCGGATTAGTATGTCTGAAATAGATGTGTCCTATTTACAATTCGCTTCTGATTTGTATTATCCACATTGTATCAACATGATTTGACCCAGAGTGTGTGAAGTAAGTAGGATATCCGTTTCATCGGAATCATGCTAGAGTCCAACGGGCATTAAGCACACTTCTTGTTCAAACTTTTACTTCCACGTTGCATAGGTCACTAGTGTACATGGAAAGTGAAGTGAGCTTTATATTTCACACACCCTCATCAATGTACCTGTAGATCACCAACGTAGATGATCTATGTCGAAATGATTGGAGGCCGACTCGAGTTAGACGTGAATAGTGTGACGAACCAACTAACGTCGAAGTCACACCTCGTGGTCAGCACCTTACGTGGACTACCCCCATTGACGTAACAAGGTACTATAAATGCTTTGAAGACTGTACAACACAAAGGACGTTATTACAGAAATATATTAATTAAAGTAGATACAAGCGAAAGTAAGACCACTGCCGCATGGGCCAGTCCATGGCGTATGATTAACTAATGCGCGTTGCTTCTACATGACCTTGGCAGGGAGCGATGATCTGTTCGACATTCAGTGATCCAACTGCCGTATGATTTGGCTAGGGCTCAGTGACATTTCACTGACCCTACATACCCAACTGAACAACTACGACGTTATATTAGGTGTTATAGGTTTATTCCCATTGCCGACGAAGCTTGCGCGTCTAAATCAAAATAATTAACTGCCAATATAGGAACGCCGCGATTTAAATGAACAAAATAGAGTTGTGTGAACTAAGTAACGCTAGTAACAACCATCTGACAGGAATATTTGAAACATGAACATCTCAGATTATGTCTTTATTTTGCAACGACAAAAACAGGAATCGAGAGTGAGTAGCCCCGTAGCTAAAACCTTGCTTGGTAGTACATCAAGTACGCACTCAAGAGTTTACCAATCTTGATAAATCCGTATGATCCTCAGTAAGAATGTCTTGCACCTCGATGTATATAGTTGGAGTCATCTACAGGAAGCTCACAGCTGGCACTGAATATGACAATTGTATGCTGGAGGGACTATTCTGGAAACACTCACATCCTGGTTCTAGTAGATTTCAACCTTCATAAGGTCAGTTTCACTGAATACACTTACACTGGAGGTGAAAACTCCACTGAAGTTCACCTCTTCAACCTCACTGGGATTATTCAAAAATATGAAGTTAGTAACTGGGTGAACAGACAGTCAAAAGCCGTCATGTTTAGACCGCATTTTTACAAACGAAGAATTCCTGATTGACAACCCCTTAATCCTGGCTCCCCGGGGTAGAAATGATAATGCAGTCATAGCCCTCAATCTTGTCAGCAATACTGAACCAAACATTGTACTATCAACAGGTGTTGGAATTACGAACGGTTGAATGTCAGCTTTACTGGTTACTCTACAGCAGTGACACAACCGATCTTCTGGGAGGGCAGCACATTCAGACATTTCCACCATATTACACTAACTACATCGAAGAGAGTTTCCCCTGCGACTCAATAGGACTCTCAGAAGTGAACCTGAGAGCTAAAACGGTGTATCAGAAACCGCAGCATCTAAACAAGAACACTTCTTTTGGCTCAGATGTGGTTCTTTCTGCTATACTAGGGGAGGCGTCTTCAATCTTGGTAACCTCGCCTTGTGTGATGTTCTCATATTCGCTAAGAGGAGGCATATTACTGGAAAATTGGAAACTGGCTCACATCACAAGTTTTCAATGAAGGTCGACGCAGTGAACCTTCAAGCTGTCAGCCTGTAGCACTTCTCACAATACCCTCAAAAGTTATGGAATCCCTTATATGCTATGGTTTACATAACCATTTACTATTCATAAGCTTCTTTTCAGCCCAATAGCACGGTTTCAGAAAATGTCAACGTTGTACAACCAACCTTCTGACCGCGGTGGACAGATAAAAGCCGTCCTTGATCTCAAGGAAAAGGTTGGCATAATTTATCTTGACTTCTCAAAAGCTTTTGAAAAAGTCAACCGTATATTCGTTATTAATAAGCTCAAACGAATAGGTATTAAGTCATTATTAAATGATTGGCTTGCTTCATATTTAAATAAATGGCCGTTTAAACTCAGAGTTAACTTCACTTTCTATCAGGCTATGGATTATTACAGTGGGGTCCTCTAGGGTTCATCAAGAGGTCTTCTTTTCTTTATTTCTATAAACGATCTTCCATAGCAGGTATCGTCAGATTTATTAATTTTCTCTGATGTTATGAAGCCCTGGAGAGGGGTTTTCATCCGAAATTGTAAGCTCGCACTTCAGGAGGACTTGAGTTGACTTAAATGTCAGGTGGATAACAATGAACTTACTTTTCACACTCCAAAATGTAAAATATTTCATCCGAGAAATTTTCAAGACTATTCACATATCTTCAGTGACCCCAGTCTAGAAAGATCCCAATTTGGAAACGGCCAAGGAGTGTTGGAACACTATAGCCTGAAATATTACGCTTACTGTAACAAAAATGCCTTTCAATCAAGCCTTGTACTATTAACGTTGAAGCCCATTTTTGTCCAGTTTAACGACAGAACTTTCCACTTAATCTTCGGCAGTTTTATTCGACTCGAAAGTAAACGTTGGGAAGTGCCTCAAATAACTAAATCCTTGCTCATCAGGGTATAGATGTCTCAGAGTTGACCTTTCAACGACCTGTAACACCTTAAACACTTTCGGGTATCCCCTTAAATACCCACTTACGACAAGTTCCAATACAAACCTCAGAGGTAAAACCCGGAATCTGGAGATTCAACAATAACAGAACATACTGTAGGGATACCTTCTGTTCCTTAAGAGTAGTCAAATGCTAAAATTCGCTGCCTGCTGAGATCGCCCGAGAGACTTCTCAACTTAATATATTCATAATGACTAGGGACAGTATCCCACAATGATTTACCGATATTTTTTATCTTTTACCCTAAAAAATATACATAGGTTTCTACCTGGCGATGTCAGTGATCCACTTCTACTAGATAAAGAAGCCTGTTAACAGAAAACTTCTATCCCATTCAGAACCATTTGAAACAACCTAACGTTTATACCAAACCACATGTTGAATAACGGTAATATAGTTTGACGATTCCTTTCTCCACACAAAGTGAAAATTCCACTTACGTTATCCTAAACTTTTACTACATGTGGAACTACTTTCACCATGAGTTCAGTTATTGGGATGTTGATCTGCCAAGGTTAGTGTATATTCAAGCTATCTTGACACACGTGCATCTAGATTCAAGTGGTGCACTCCAAACTGTAGACTCTGACGGAGAGAGTTTACGTTTTCCTCAATGGTGTTAAAAGATCCTAATAAATTTGATGACATAGATGTTAACAAAAAGCACCGCCCACGCGCCAGCGGTCGTAAAGCGCAGAAAAAATGTCCACGAGAGTCAGCAATAGAAAACAATCCTAAGGCATTTGCTGTCCAACACACAACTAAAGCATCACGCCTAGTCCAACGTACGCTTGATCATCAGACTAAAAGACATCATTTATTACAATCCAAATATGTTTCGGCTGTTTCTCCACCATATATAGTTGCAATCGTCGGACCTCCAAAATCAGGCAAAAGCACTCTTCTCCGTGGATTAATAAAACACTTTGCACACCTATCAGTCGGTGTCATTAAAGGTCCGGTGACTGTAGTAGTCGGTAAAAAGGAAAGATTTACTTTCATTGAGTGTGGGTGTGAAATTAACAGTATGTTAGATGCTGCGAAGATCGCTGATGTCGTTTTGTTACTCGTTAACGTCCGTGCAGGACTGGAAATGTATCATTTTGAATTCATCAATATGATACAAGCTCATGGAATGCCGAGAGTTGTTCCTGTTTTGAATCACTTAGATACATTTAAGGATTCTAGCTCTTCTCGTGCACTTCGAAGAAAAATTAAACATCGCTTATGGACCGATCTTAACTCCAAAATATTTCTCCTCTCACGTTTTCAAGCAAAAAGATGTAAGTTCTAAGGGACGTTTTGCTTTTTCTCCGTTTTAAACGTTTGGTTAACAGACCCTGATACTTATCAATTATTTTATATTTCAGAACGGTAATAACTATTACTTATCTACTAGTTATGCATCCTTCACTAGGCAGGAAGCTTTGGTCATGAACAACCTATTTGTTTTCAGTACTCATACCAACGACCGATTAAAGTCGAACTTCTGTTATTTTCGTCCTGATCTTGAAGCTAACAATAGTTAAATAAACAAAAAAGCAGCCTACTACTATTATTAAAATTGTCAGCTGTGTTAAATCTGAGTATTTTTGATTTGCCTTAATGAAATATACTGTTCCCCCAAATACCCTGGTACGTCCCAGAGCGGGGAAAGCCAACTATCCCTCTCGAAATGCTCTCAAGTGGCTATGTGCATACAACCACACATGGAAGTACTACTCATTGCTTTCTTGTGGCATTACTGTTGTTTACGAAATTGAAGGAGAGAAAAGCGAATGTCCGGCACTTTAACCGGGTTGGTAGATACGGAGGATTCACCTAAGGGGGTCAGGAAACCCTGGCTCCAGACCAATGGTGCACTAGGCTCCAGGATCCTAAGGTACCAAATGGCGTACGAATCTATTGTTCGTCATCGGCTGCCATGGGACTGCATCTTCTGACGTTGCTCCACCTTCTTGTGGATTAGGCCTTTAGGTCAAAGGCTCCGGGTGTGGCCCCCTAAGAAAACCACCTGCTTCGGTTTGGGCACCCAGGCAGTATCCCAGCGCTCACATAAATCGAATGATTTATGTGGCCCATATCTATTTGGTTCCTCCTTGTATTAATGTTTGTTTTTAAATAAAATAAAATAAAAACCAATGAAATCAAGTGATCATCAAGCTAAATATTTTGATTAAGTGATTTATTCTGTACACTTGTCTAGTTCCAAGATCTGGAATTATACTCATTTCGGTAGATATGTACGTTTCGGATTTATAACTCGGTTAATCTAACAAGTTAGCCTTCTCACCCATGGCCCACAAACCACTGGTTTAGCTCAAATTCCGTGGATATATCGCGTATTGGGTTGCATTTAACCCCAAAAGTGCCTTGATACACAGGAAAGTAAAGTGTTTGTTCTCCTCTGGTTATGCCTTAAAATAATCTCACATTAATAACACTTAGGAAATGTCAGCTCTTTGTGGACAAATGATGGAGTGTTTGGACATAATTAAAAGGATAAAATCATGAGCTTGAACAAATCTGGGGAATGCAGGGAATTCACTTGCTAGGATTTCAAAACCTTAACTTTAAACCAAATAGTTCACATGGTCGTCGGATACTTAAAGTATAGAAACGTAATTTAGTTACCAGCTTCCGTAAAATCTGCACATCCTGGTGTTGCTTTATTACTTTGAGGACTCGACTTTATCGTCATCTTTGTAAATGTGTGTATCAACCCTTAAATTTAGTTGTTTAGTTGCCTTAACGTATCTCTGAATCCCCATGTTTTGTGTCGGATTGCATAAATCAAGTAATTTTATAGCAATCATGTGCGACATTTAATTCCAGACAAGCGTCAATACTCTTACACTCATAAAACTTAATGGTTTATGAGATAACCACTCGAGTGTATTACATCTCATTTCTTACTAAAATACTATGAATTCGTACAATTGTTTAAATAAAAAATCCTCCATGATGAATCAAATAAAATGAGCTTGTAATTTTACGTATGCTTCAAATCCTCACCAAGTCGAACTTTTAAAATGGGATGCTCAAGTGGCGTGTTCATGACTAATTTCATTCACAGTTATCTAGATTCGATTTGTGACATGGTTGCTCTCAATAAAGCTATTTCCACTTGTAACACTTCCAAACCACATTCAACTTGCAACAACTTCAAACATTCCTAGTCACCTTACTTCGTTACTTACGCCTGTTACTCCTCGTGAAGGAGCATAGGCCGCTCACCAGTATTCTCCATCCAACTCTGTCCTTTGCAAACCTTTCCCGCTCTTTCCAGTTGTTATGCATTTTTTTAAATTTCTGCTTCCATTTTCCGATGTAATGTGTTCTTTGACCTTCCACTTTTCTGCTTCCCTTCAGGATTCCAAGTTAGTGCTTGACTAGTGATGTAGTTTGACGATTTGCGTAATGTATGTCCTATCCATTTCCATCGTCTTTTCCTAATTTCCTCTTCAGCTGGAAGTTGGTTTGTTCTCTCCCACAAAAGGCTGTTGCTGATGGTATCCGGCCAATGGATGTTCAGTATCTTGCGTAGAGAGCTATTTATGAATACTTGTACCTTCTTGATTGTGGTTGTTGTAGTTCTCCAAATTTCAGCTCCGTACAGTAGAACTGCCTTGACATTCGTATTGAAGATTGTGACTTTGATATTGGTTGAAAGTTGTTTTGAGTTCTTCAATTGAAGGAATGCGGCCCTTGCTTTGCCAATCTTCGCCTTTACGTCTTCATCTGAACCTCCTTGTTCATCGATGATGCTTCCCACGTATGTGAAGGATTCTACATCTTCCAGAGTTTCGCCATCAAGAGTGATTGGATTGCTGTTCTTCGTTTTGAATTTGAGGACCTTAGTTTTCCCCTTGTGTATGCTGAGACCTACTGATGCAGAGACTGCTGCTACACTGGCTGTCTTCATCTGCATTTGTTCATGTGTATGCGATAGGAGGGCCAGGTCATCTACGAAGTTCAAATCGTCTAATTGATTCTGAGCTGTCCATTGTATCCCGTGTTTTCCCTCAGATGTCGAAGTCTTCATAATCCAGTCGACCACCAGAAGAAAGAGGAAGGGAGAGAGTAAACAGCCTTGTCTGACTCCGGTCCTTACTTGGAATGCATCTGTCAGCTGTCCTCCATGCACGACTTTGCATTGTAGTCCGTCATATGAGTTCCGGATAATATTGACAATCTTCTCAGGAACTCCGTAGTGTCGAAGAAGTTTCCATAACGTCCTCTTATCTACACTGTCAAATGCCTTTTCATAATCAATGAAGTTGATGTACAGTGTTGAGTTCCACTCAACTGATTGTTCGATGATGATCCGGAATGTCGCAATTTGGTCTGTGCACGACCGATCCTTACGGAATCCAGCTTGTTGATCTCGAAGTTGGGCGTCTACTGCATCCTTCATCCGGTTCAGCAACACTCTGTTGAAGACCTTCCCTGGTATTGACAGTAGTGTTATGCCTCTGTAGTTTTCACATTTGCTCAGATCTCAATTCTTTGGAATCTTGACGAGGTATCCTTCTTTCCAGTCCATCGGCACTTGTTCCTCCTCCCAAATCTTTTTGAATAGAAGGTGAAGCATGTTTGTAGTTACTTCGATGTCTGACTTCAGTGCTTCAGCTGGTATGTTGTCGGGTCCTGCTTTCCCGCTCTTGATTTGTCTGATCGCCATGTGTATGCTGCTTCGATGTCCGGTGGATTCGTTGGAGCCGACCTATTCAGGAGTTCCTCGAAGTATTCTACCCATCTGTTCCGCTGTTGTTGAATTTCAGTGATTGGTCTTCCTTCTTTTTCGTTGACCGGTCTCTCTGGTTTACTATATTTCAATGCTAGTTTCTTCGTTGTATCCTAAAGCTGTTTCATATTTCCTTCCCTTGCAGCTTTTTCCACCGTCGTTGCTAGTTCTTCCACGTATTTCTTCTTGTCGGTTCTAATGCTCTTCTTCACTTGCTTGTTTGCTTCTATGTATTCAGCTTGTGCTTGGACTTTCTCTGCTCGTGTTCGGCTGTTGTTAATTGCTGTCTTCTTGTCCTTCATTTCTTTGATCTTGTCCAGTGTTTGCTAGTCACCATAAAATGTAAAAACTACTCTCTTGTATTTTGTAGTGTATTGCATTCTGATCAGTACTAAAACAAGTGAATGAACCTAATACTTCTAATTTTCTAGTCGCAGGCTAGAACCGTGTTCAACTTACTTTGATTTAAGAAATCGGGTAGTGCCTCCAACATTTAATTAATATGTGCTAATCAGTGTTCGGAAGTAATTTTCTAGAACTTTAGTATTTCTTTTTAGTAACTTCACCAGTATCACACTGTAATGTGCGTTATTATGCTTTTGTATACCTTATATTTTTAGTTCCCTCTCATACACCAGATAAACAAAATGCAGGCGACACTCCAGGTGATTATTTGCTAAATGAAGTCAGACGTTTGGCTCGGTTAATAATGGTCAAAACGCCTCGCCCTTCAGATTGGCGTAGCTCTCATCCTTACTTACTAATTGATCGAATAGAAGATGTAACGGACAACAAAACGTCCAACAACATGAATAATGACCGTTGTATAAGTTTGTACGGGTGGGTTCGTGGTGCCCCCTTACCACCAGCATTGACATCTCCTGGGATACACATTGCAGGACTTGGTGATTTTGCTTTAGTTGAATGCACTCAACAGCCTGATCCCTGCCCATTACCGGGTATGTTCACTCATTCTAACGGTACTGATCCTGTGAAAACAACAAGACATTTGTCTGAACGTGATCGAAAAGTAATGTATATTTTTGTTGATATTTTAATTTTTTATGCGTATATTAAGTGCTAGTTACTGAGTGCCAGGGTAATGTGTATAGTATTTGACTGGAAACTATCAGTTTAGTGAGTATCCCGTGCACCACTTTTTTATTATCTCCCTGTGTAAAACCGATAAAGGCTATAATTACCTTGTCTGATGTGAAAGACTGTTCACATCACTGATTAGCGAGGAGTGGAAATAGCAAGTTTTCATAGTATATTTTACACATCTTACCACCATCAATGAACATCTGTAACAAGGAATTCACGCAGGGTTTTTTATGCGATACAAGTTTTGTATATTGTAACAAGATTCGTGTTTTCTATTCAAGCAATCAAACAAAAACGTTTTGTTCACATGATGCATCAATAGCTCTCACATATACAAAGAATATGATTCAAAGTTGAGGACGTAAACCTGTATTAATAAATAAGTGATTCATAATCTGTTGTCCTCTATAATTGTAGATAGAAATCGAACGTATGTCGTAAGTAAATACAGCTAAGGGGAAAACAGTAACTTTTCTAGGAAAATTCTAGATGACAGTTAATTACCACTTTCTACTTTGATCTGGAGTGTTAGGTAATGTTACCGGCCCTCACACAAAACTTAATTTCTGAACCACCGCCATAAATTACGTAGTGTAATAAATACAAATTGTTATTATTATTATTATATCACAAAGACTTCACTTTCTATTTAGATATATGCTCCAATGTCGAGTCTCGGTGGTGTTCTGTTCGACCGGGACGCGACATATATTGATCTTGGAGGCAGTCACTATCTAACTAATCGTAAATCTCGACATGGAAATAATCAAACACAAAATGTTAGTCAGTCTATGTTAGATGAATTACATGCAACTTTCAATGAAGTTGGTGGGTTGGATGAGCGATTAAATAAAACACATAAGGTTCGTATGGTCAGCAATGCACCATTTCTGTCTGCAGAAGAAATAGCGGATGATCATGATGGTTTTCATAATCTAAACAATTCGATGAATGATGTTACAATGGAAGAACCAAATGATATGAACACTGACAAGTGTACTGATGAAATACGTGTATTTTCAGAAGAGCCTATTGCAGGATTTCTTGTCCCGGCTGGATTTCAGGAAAATGGAAACGTCCAAAAGAAGAACCAAGATCCGTCAGTGTCGAAAAGTGCACATATGCAAGTAAAACAAATTTTAGATGGTGAGATCCGTGTTTTTGTAATTTACGTCTTAGCTCATGAACTGTACTAATGTATATTAGTTGTAGTAAGTATTTGTTAATTCTTAGTATTGAGGATTTATAGGAATTTTTCAGTTTGAAGTTGGTTTTCATCACAAATGAATATCATGTGTAGAACCACCGAAGACCAGGGAGTGTTAGACGATTACTACATTTTAGATTAGGGTTAATTAGCGCCCACTCGCTACCATGTACTAAAGCAAACTCAGTACTTTTAGTTTTTGTGAAAAATATCATAACTTTATACCACAAAATCTGAACGGTTCACAGTCTTATTTTGTAGTTATCATCCAATGCCATTGGTGATGTATCATCAATATAATTGGATCCAACCAGTTTTAGCTTTTCATTTGAACTAGCGATTTTCCTCAAAGCTAGTCACTAGTGAGCCATGATTGTAATTATAATTATAATTATAATTATTATTAGATTACAATTAGGGTATTGGTTAATTGTCTAGATTTTGCATCACACTTTTGTCTGTTAATTACTGGTTTATTTTGAGGTGTGGCAAGTTGGAATGACACAGATTTGTGTTAGATACTAAATTATCTATAAGTAACCATGAAGTCCATCTACCAAAACAAATAAATAGAACGTCTTTAAACTGACGAATTTAAAACATACTGTTATGTAATGTTGATAATACATATTTCAAATGTTTCTCATCTACTAATTAGGAAATATTGTTAAAGCACCCCAGATAAAACGTTTCCACTAAAAAAAAAGGAAGTTTTGTGCAAAAATCAAGGATATTTATTTAAAAATTACTTCGAAATATCATCAAAAATGACGGCCATTTCGTTCCTGTTCCCAGTCAGTCATATGCACCGTGAAACCTGAAACGTATACAAATCGGTTTAGGTTGACATAGCACATTGGGACAGAGAGATACGGTTATCAAGACCAATAGATGTAGTCACAACGTCAGTAGTAATAGAAAGGTATAGGCGTCGAAAAAAGAAGATATTAATTGATTTCAAGACTCTGATTTCATGGGATACAAAAAGTAGATGCAGCTGGCATTATTGCGAATAATTCTGAGCAATGTCGCCCAGAGTCTGTAACCATTGCTTACAATAATCACTTAGACTTCAACCAGTTAGTCTACACCTACCTATATAGCTCAGTCCACCTATCGATGGCTTTATAGACCGGTGCCGTGTCTTAGTTTGGCTACCCTTAGCTTTCTTCTAACCAACCCCCACACCAGACACCATCCATCGAGGTAGGCGGTGGTTTTTACATATATCACATACGTCACGACCTCTTACTGTTCCCAGTGGAGACGTTAGTTTGCGAAATCTGTTATATTACTAAACTATTTACAAAATTCATAAGTAATAATATTAATAGTATTGAGAACTATAGAAACAATTCATCTTGTTTACAGATATTGAATGGAAATCCACAACCGTCTCCTTAGTCAACTGGAACCGTATTGTTTATGGTATAAATAATGGTAAGTTTTAGTTTTGATGTTTTGCACTTGACAATTCACTTTTGAAATGAATTTGATCTCTCAAAAGAATTACGGATGCACCAATGTTTTTAAAAAAAGAAAGTAAATGCTCACTTATAATAGTAAAGATGTGTATTGATAAATTGACAATAGTGGTAAAACTATACTATGCTGACGGCCTTGAGTGATTTAAAATATAACCTTAAGATTAGCTAATCAAACATAAGCCACTAAGAATATAGCTCTTGTAATCATGTTCTGTATTACGAAAAAGTATTTAGAGTTTTACCAATTAATGAACTTATTAAGACTGACTGTCATAATACCCTGACGTCCTAATTCTAACTCCTCATTTTTTTTTTAATTCTAGCACTTCGTTTCACAGGGAAATTATCATCCAATCTATCCATAGTATGAAATCTACTCAACAAGATTATATATATATATATAACAGTAAACTATCTTCATTAGCGTTGTGAATTCATACTAATATTTAATATCGGTTATTTTAATTTCGATTGGTCGCTCAAAGCCCTCAGTATTACCGGTTATTTAGTTAGATTTAAGCTTGTTAAGGCTGAAGTATAATGTTGAATTTGAGTAATTTCTAAAATAACCTTAAGGAGTTTTCGACACCATTTAACCAGGAAATAGTCAATATGAGTGATTTCTAGTTAAAAATGAAAAGATTCATAAAGTAGATATGGTTTTTAATATGATTAGTGATTTCGTGTATATTTCTAATCGGTTCTTAGGCTTTGAATTCAAAGAAATCTTCAATAAAGAGATTTATCAATATGACTCAAAAAACATTTTGTTTCATAGCCTTTATACAGTCGTAAGTAGTTTCCATGAAACACCCCAAATGCCTTCCAGTTTTCTGATGTGTACTTTCACTATGTGTAGTAAAATTTTAAGAGAAATTTATCATCAATATTCAGACATTTATGTGTTTCAGTACAGTTATTCTTAGTGCACCTAGTTCATATTATTCTACCACATTAGGAATTTATTTATCAGATTATTGGGTTTGTCTTTAATTTCAAATCATTCAGAGGCTTAAGTCACGAACTAGTCCTCCTGAGCATACATCACTTGGCCACACATCATATTATTGTGTATCATCGGTCGGTCAGCATGTTTTATTCATTCTAACTGTTAAAGGGACATAGACTGGATTAAAGCATGCTCAATGCACGATTGCTTCGGTGCACGCTGATTGGCTAATTCTTATCCACTCATCACTAGTCGATACTTGGAGAATACTCTAGAATCTTCTCATGTAAAAACTATAAATATACTAACGTTTTTCCCTATTGTGCTTCTTACTTCCATCTAACCTTGTTATTTGGAATATAGTCTCTTTCCTGTTCAACCGTGTTCTGATTTGGGGACTTGTCGAGTGATTTGGTGTCCAAGAATACTAAGCAATAGGAATAGCTGGGTTATAACCGTAAGAGAGAAATATAACACTAACAATTGATATTTCATCTCATCAATTAATAACTTCTTCCTTCATGACAACTCAGAATATTGTTACGGCGGTTTTACCGTCACAATCGTAGATTTCCGAATTTATACGCAACTCAACGTTTTATAACAAGTTTATTATTCTTTATTCACTGAAATTTTTATAACAATTCAGATGATAACTGATATCTTTGTCCGGTAAATACTTTATAACCGTTGAAATGTTTTCTCAATACTGATAAGTTCGTCAGTCATCTACAACATAGGACCAGGCACATATGTGCATCGGTTCAAGTTGCCATACCTCATTAGCACAACAAGATGAACACCGGATTCATAGAAGTAGTTAATTCAGTGGTGCTAATATCTAAAAGAAAGATTGCATATAAGGATATAGTACAGGAAGAAACAATTAGTTTGTAGAAAAAAAGATATGAAGCGATTTTAATCTCGTAGCTTAAGGGAAGACAGAGAGTGTATACACCTACGCCATTGTTATTGATTCTGAGCCATGTCACCCAGAGTCTCCAACCATTGGTTAGGATAGTCACGCGGACCTCGACCGAGTAGTGTACATCTATTGACGTGGCTTAGACTAGAAGTTAGTACTGATATGTTCGACATGATACTTAAAATTAACTCGTTACCAATTGATAAAATAAGTTAATCATGTACTGTTTTTTTCATACATCTTACCAAAAAAGTAATTGATTCCATATTTTATTAGATGCAAATGAAAATCCCCTTAAAAGTTCTAACCAACCAATCATTGGAGATCATGATTTTACTCTTTGTTCAATTCACAAATCAACTGTATTATCATGGGAGGATTCATCATCTCATAATTTAATTCGTAATCTATTTACCACTGGTCATTGGGGTGAGAATGAAGATGCTCGAACACTGTTGGAAAAAGATGCTAAAGCACGAGAAGAATTAAAAATGAATGAGGCTAAAAAATATGCTGCCGCATCTGGTAGTCGTGTACAGCATACTTACCATGGAAAGCAATCATTTTATGATAATGATTCAGATGATTTTGAAGGAGTGGAAAACAATTCCGATAACAGTGGTGATGATGATGATGACGATGTTAATGATAGTGAATCGAATAATGATGAAGATGGTTATAATCAGGAGTCAGACGATGAAAATATTTTCCATGATTCAAACTCTGAGGACGAAAATAATCCAAGTAACAATAAAGGTATTGCATCAAAGGACTTGGCAAATTTGGAAAGTGAATACGATAAGGTCAGTGCGTATATGATCTTGTTTGACGAATAAGATCATTTCCAAACGATTTGAATTGTAATATCATTCTTAGAAATGATTAAGTTTTACGATCATGCATCACCCCTAATTTACGTATCAATGAAAGCACATTAACAATAAAAATATTCATGCTTTAGCGCAATTTTTGTCGTTTCGAAAGTCAGAGTTCTATCCTCCTGGTAAGCTCTATACTTCCTAAAGAAGTTGTTTCTTTCGACAGTCAAAATCATCTGTAAAAACACCTGGTTGCCTCAAACTATGCCAACGACTTTCATCTCCTAAACCATGTGTAGTTACCTTAATTCATTCGGCTAATAAATGACGCTTTGACCCCTGGAACAATCAGTGCAAGGTTCAGGTTTCCATGAAAGCTCTTTTTAAAATTTAATGTAACTCATTTACCGGGTACGGTTTTATGCAGTTACCTTTAAGCTCATGATACTATCTGACTGCTCAAACCAAGATGTGTAAATCCTTGTTCAAATCTGCAAAATATTTATAGAAAGCTCAACACTTCTACTACTAAGCCATCATTATCAGTGGGAACAAACACACCAGTATACCTGATTGGTGATTTTCAAACCTGATGAAACGGATATCTTAAACTGCACTGTCAAGTCACTTTATCAATCCTCAATCAATAATATTTCAACATGCATACACGTAGCCAATATGCTGCCGTGAACTGATCAGTTTTGATCTTCTAAATCAATTATGTCTAATGCAATAAGGAATTTGAAACTTTACTGACACTCTGTGACATTCGAACTCTTGCACTTCATCATCACAGTTCAAGATATTACTACGAAGATATAAGTACAGGTCCTGACCTCTTGTAAGATCATGATATTTAACCACTGTCTCCAACCATCTAACATCAAGACTTGGTCCATATGATATCGTACAACCTGAGTGATAAAATGTAGTGAGCACAAAAATCTAAATAATCGTGGTATCATTCTCAGTATTCAACTTTCAATCAGTTACATGATAATCTTTGTTTTGATTATGTTTTTGTATAACTTAGTATTATCTTGCTGTGATACTTCACTCAACTATTTTCAGATTAGAGCGAAAATTCATAATAATCAATATATATATATATATATATTAAAAGAAACCAAACAACAGAGACACGATAGTAGGAACAACTACTTACTTACACCTGTTACCCCTCATGGAGGAGCATAGGTCTCTCACCAGCTTTCTCCATCTAACTGTCCTGGGCAATCCTTTTCATATCTGCCCCCAGTTCCCGACGTAGTTTGGTATTTCTCTTTTACGTTTCCGTTCAGTATTCCAAGTTAGGGCTTGCCTTGTGGCGCAGTTTGATGATTTCCTCAATGTATGTCCTATCCACTTCCATCGTCTTTTCCTAATTTCCTCTTCAGCTGGAATTTGGTTTGTTCTTTCCTACATTAGGTTGTTGCTGATGGTATCCGGCCAACGGAAATTCAGTATTTCACGTAAACAATGGCTTATAAATACTTGTACCTTTTTGATGTTGGATGTGGTAGTTCTCTGAGTTTCAGCTCCGTGCAGTAGGACTATCTTGACGTTTGTATTGAAGATTCCGACCTTGATGTTGGTTGACAGACAGTTGTTTGGAGTTCCATATGTTTTTCAACTGTAAGAATGTTGTCCTTGCTAATAGGAACAGTGCTTATATATAATTTACATAAAACCTCCTAACATCTCGATTTGTCCGCTGGCGCTGAGTGATTATAAGTAAACCGATCAGTATATTTATATTTAATCTTAACCAGAGGATGTAATCTTCTGGACTATCCTGCTCACGATTATTGACATTAAAACATACTGTATATTTCAATGACTTTAACATTTACAATATCTTTATTTAAAAGAGGATTAATATTATTTTTTTTATAAAAAAACTCATATTCAGAATCTACTACGACCAACTAAACGACAGAAATTATTAGAGAAAAGACAACGTCATAAAGCTTTATTTAACCAACTCTATGAGGAAGCTGGTGGTGGTCCTGAAGCTACTGCATTCTATGATAAACTTGTTGCTACACGTGAAGCACAACAAGCATTAAATAGAGAAGTTTTAAAAAGTTTACCTGAAGAAGTTGTTAATCGTTTAGAGGGTTTTCCACCTGGAGTTTATGTTCGAATTGAAATTAGAGGTTTGTTTTGTTTGTATTTATGTGAATATAAAGTTCATTTTAAAATTCACTTGTAAATAAGTAGTACTACAAATGATGAGTTTTGTTATTACAAATGTAAATGTTAACAAAGTTTAGAAATTTATGTTAATTGTGTTCTATCAGATGTAACTACTTAAAAATGACTTAGTACTTGATACATAATTTATTTCATTAGTTGAGATCATGAGTCAATTGAAGCTAGACCACCATAGATAACCTGGAAGCACTGGACGGCCGTTTCGTCCTATTGTGGGACTCTTCAGCAGTGCGCAGTGACCAGTGGAGTCCAACTGGGTCTGTTGTGAAATAGTAACTCACTGAAAACAATGGTGAATGTGTCGCACGATTTCGTGGATTGGTTGAAGTTAGACATTAACGCTATTGGATGCCGGCCAGCTCAGTGGTCTAGTGGTTAGGCGCTCGCGCGCGAAACTGATAGGTCCTGTATTTGAATCCCGTCAGGCGGTGTCGTAGATGCGCACTTCTGCGGAGTCCCATACTAGGACGAAACGGCCATCTAGTTCTTTCAGGTTTTCCATGGTGTTCTAGCTTCAATTGACTCATGATCTCAACTATTAAAATTATTACAATCTCCACAAAACCCCTTCTGACATAATTTATTTGTCTTTAGTAGGTTGAATTTTTGCATTTTTTTCGTGTCGATTACTGGATAAGTAATTCAAAAGTTCTTAGCTAAATATTAGATTGTTCCTTAATATCATTTTTCTTGCAGTTTGATCTTTAATAAGTTCATCTAACTCTTGGAGGTTTCGACTTATTCCAAATTAATATCCCGATTAAACTTTGTACATAATACTTAGACTAATCTCGTTGCACATACACATTACTTACAATAACAGATGTCTTACACGAAATATATTGAGAATATTATGTTTCATGTATGCAGATTAACAGACAAACCACACGAATAAAGAGACGTAGTTTGAATTTGATTGCACTCTTAAAGTGCCTTTCATCAGGATTCGTCATACTCAACCGTTATGATTGAATTCTTTTTTTGATAGATTCGTAGATTTATGTCGATATCTTTTTCCCACTGAATGAATAGGTTTCATTTGATCAACTTAGTATCAAATTATGTCTAATTCGTAATTTATACAAGCGACAATGTGTTAAAATCACAAGTTTTCTATTCTCTTACACAAAACAAAGGAATAATCAAGTCGAAAATTGTTATACCGATTCCGGAAATCTCAGGCTACCTGGCTAGGTCTTTTGAGAGAAAATATGTGGTGTTCCTATACAGTACAGATAGTAATAGAGACTGGTGACAGTTAAACACACTCTACGATTTGACTAATAATTATTTGTAACATTGTATCAAGCAAAGTGAGTAATTTTTGGCATATAACCCTCTACTGGCCTGCATCAACACCTGAACTAAGGATAGAGAGTGAAGTAGTCGAACGTGTTGACAACTTCACTTGGAAGTCTGATCAGCCCTAGTGGGTTGGTGTCTGGCGAAATGCATGGATTCAAAAAGCTCGTTTGATTTTTGCCAATCTTACGTTACCTATGGCGAAGGCGAGATGTCCGTCTATCAATAAGAGGATTAGTATACTTCGCGGCAGTTCGTTTTGTTCCACTTTATGGCTGCGAAACGTGGTCATTAAGAGTAGAAGATACTCGCAAGTTACTAGTATTTGATCACAGATGTCTTAGAAATATTGCTCGCATCTGCTAGGATCACCTGGTAAGTAATAGTGCGGTTAGACGCAGCGTATTAGGGAATGATGGTAAATCAGTCGATGTGGTTGTGAATCTTCATCGACTGAGATGGTTGGGCCACGTGTTACGTATATCTGAACACTGACTACCACGATGCGCAATGCTGACTAGTGTTGGGAATGGTTGGAAGAAAGTTAAGGGCGGTCAAACCAAAACGTGGTATCAGTCCATAAAGTCACTAACTTCTAGTGTGAGCCATGTTGGTAGATGTACACTACTTGGTTGGGGTCCGCGTGACTATCGTAACTAATGGTTGGAGACTGTGTATGGCATGGCTTAGAATCGATCACAATGGCGTGGGTGTATACACTCTCTGTTTTCCCTTAAACTAAGAGATTAAAATCGCTTCATATCTTTCTTTCTACGAACTAATTCTTTCTTTCTGTACTATATTTTTACATAAAATCTTTCCTTTATATATTACTCCATTGAGTTAAGTGCTTCCATGAATCCAGTGTTTGTCTTGCTATGCTAATAAGGTGTGGCAACTTGGACCGATGCATGTATCTACCTGGTCCTGCGCTGTAGCTGACTGACAGAAATGAATATAACACAAAATAATCATATTCATACCCATAATTCACGTATTGCATACAATAATAGTAATATAGTATGTATTCTGAAAATAATCATGGTATACACTCTAGTTTACAGACATGATCAGGTTATTATGAAAAGGAGTAGAACAAGACTTGGTTCGTAAATTGTTTTGACTGTACAGTTGTCTCAAAGATTTTAATAATGAAATGCAGACAAGTTGTATAATCATAGGTGATATTTTGAAGTATAATATTATTGTCGGGGCATACAAGAATAATAGCTATTATTCTTGTAAACGAAAAGTTGTCTTTAATATAAACAGTATAGAAAGAATCGTAAACTTGCTAAGTTAATGGCGCAGCTAAAATATCATGACCGTTTCGAATCAATTAATATTGCAAAGTGATTAGCAATTAGGAACCAGTACTTTCTTAGTCCTAAGGACTGAGATCTCATGTTTAAGAATGATCATAGTATAGACAACCCATTCCAGTCTTATTACTTTGTATTTATAACCATCTACAATTGGAGAAAAGAAAATGGAAAAGAGAGCAAATAACAACAAAAAATTATTTTTTTAGATCAATCGTCATATATACACTTGATTATATCGTAATGTAATAATATGAATTTTATTTAGACTAATCAACTATTCTGGCAACATCTTTACACCACTGAACTATGTTAATTATAGGTGTTCCACAACAATTTCTGACACGATTTGATCCCTGTCAACCATTAGTTGCTGGTGGCTTATCCAGTGCTGAAGAAGCTTTCGGTTATTTACAAATTCGTTTTCGTACACATCGTTGGCTTAAACGTGTTCTCCGTTCAAATGATCCATTAACAGTATCAATTGGTTGGAGACGATATCAAACTGTTACAGTATTTTCACAAGAAGAGCATAATTTACGTAAACGTTTCCTAAAATATTCACTACCACACGAACATTGTCTAGCAACTATTTATGGTCCATTAGTACCACCAAAAACTGGAGTAATTGCTTTTGTGAATTCTTCTTGGCAGTCAATTGATGATCCAAAAAATCCACATTTGCCAGCTTTTCGTGTCGCTGGTACTGGCAGTGTTATTGATACTAATCAATCATTTCAAATCATGAAAAAATTGAAATTAATTGGTGAACCATTCAAAATTTTTTCAAAAACCGCATTTATTCGCGGTATGTTTAATAGTCCTTTAGAAGTGAGTAAAATGATTGGTTGTCGTATACAAACTGCTTCGAAAATACGAGGTGAGTTCTTAATACAGTATTGTATATTATTCCATTTGATTTATCTTCTTTCTTCTATTCAATATTTGTAATTTTTGGAATTATGAAAAAGATTTACAACTCATATGAATTCTGTATGGTATGTGCTTTGCACATGGTGCGACACAGTGGCTAGAGACGTTATCAGATATGGCTCAGAATGGAAGCCAGTGGCGATCCTGCTGTAACCTTTTTTTTACTTTCTTCATAAAAAGTGGTTGTGTCTCCCTTACCTGAAAGATTTCTTCTGATTGTACCTTTCCGTTCCCTCATTTCTACCATACTACCTTACACCAATCTCCTCGTTATTGTTCTCTTTTTTTTGCGCCCCTTAGCTTTTTTTCTATTTCTATTTGAATTCTCATTGTTTTGTGTGGCGCCTATATATTGGCGCTCTCCTGTACCAATATTCATGTGCTCAAATAAAAATAAATAAATAATGCTTTGCACCTTCGAAGTGCAAAGTACTTCTACAAGACTGGCAGGATTCTAATCCTGTACTCACTCTGGATGATAAGCAGATAGAAGTAGTCGAGAAATTCGTGTATCTAGGTAGCTGCATAAGTGCTGGTGGGGGTGTGAGTGATAAGATCAATGCACGTATAGTGAAAGCCAGAGCGGCTTATGCCAATCTGGGCCATCTTTGGCGCCTTTGTGATGTTAGTCTGGCTGTAAAAGGTCGGATCTACAACGCGTCGGTGAGAGCAGTTTTGCTCTTTGCTTGTGAAACCTGGCCTCTCCGAGTTGAGGATGTTAGACGACTCTCTGTGTTCGATCATCGCCGTCTCCGAAGGATTGCTGACATCCAGTGGCAACACCATGTCAGTAATGCAGAGGTTCGGCATCGTGTGTTCGGGCACAGAGATGATAATTCAATTGGTGTGACCATCTTGAAACACCGACTTCGGTGGCTTGGACATGTTCTCCGAATGTCGTCCCAGAGAATTCCACGTCGTGCATTATTTGCCGACTCTGGGACTGGTTGGAAGGAGCGGAGAGGTGGTCAGTATATGACGTGGTGTCGTGGCACGAAAGAAAGCTGCAAAGGACTGGCTTGTGTTGGTCCTTCACGACTCCCTGGTTGGGGTCTGAGAGGTGGTGCAACACAGTGGCTAGAGACGTTATCAGATATGGCTCAGAATAGAAGCCAGTGGCGATCCTGCTGTAACCTTTTTTTACTTTCTTCATAAAAAGTGGTTGTATCTTCCTTAACTGGAAGATTTCTTCTGATTGTACCTTTCCGTTCCCCCATTATTACTATTATTATTATTACACTACCTTACTCCAATCTCTTTGTTATTGTTCTCCTTTTTAAACGTTCCTTACCTTTTTTTTCTTTTTCCTTCTCTCTAAATTCTCGTTGTTTTGTGTGGCGCATATTTGGCGCACTCTTGTACCAATATTTATGTGTTCAAATAAATAAATAATGAATTCTGAAAACTAGATAATTTAATTACAGAGCTTTGTCTGTCTGGATAACACAGCCAGTCTCTTCTTTATGTGAAATATATCTGGTAAATAGAATGTGCACTTCAATAGTAATTACTTTGACTTTCACACATTTTTAGGAATTTTTCCGTATAATCAGAATTATTCAAAGCAGTTGAAGTACATATGGAATATGTCCAATTAATGTACTTCATTTAACGTATGATGTCTAATTGATTTATGGGTTTACTGTTGACGAATTCTAATGCTATCTCTTCTCACCAGGATTTAAGACAACCTATGAATAGTATCACTATCCCTTGAGCAGTAAATACAATTCTCATAGCCTAGTTTTATCCAAAGTTATACATGAAAGAATATATGACAATTTAATGATTTTTCTCTGTGTTATATTTCATTTCCAGTAAATGTTTTTTAACTTTTCTCTTTTACCAATCATAGGTTTAGTTAAAGCTGCATTAACTAATCCATCAACATCGAAACCTGGTGATTTTCGTGCTACATTTGAAGCACAAATTAGGAAAGCTGATATAGTTTTCTTGAGAACATTTTTCGCTGTTGAACTGCCCAAATATTATAATCCAGTTCTTAATAGACTTTTACCTATTGTTGGAGAAAAAGATACAAATACTACAGGTTGGCGCTTACTTCGTACATTAGGTGAACTTAAATGGGAAGCTGGTATCAAAACAGAATGTAATCCAGATTCACAGTATAAAGTGAGTGTGGAATCTGTTAATAAGTTCTATTTATTTTTTGTATTACGCTATACTACCTATTTATTATTCAGTAGTTAAGATGGTGGCTGAATATTTATTCGGCTGTCGACATAAGTTGTAATTAATAACAACCGGAAGTGGAAAACCTGGCAGCAGAATGCTATGAAGGTCGACTTAAAGAAAACAGAAACAGAATTAAAAAGGAATTGTTAATCGGTAGAATCATATAGAATATGAAGGATAAGTGATGGAGATTTGTAAATAAAGTACTCAATATATGGTTCTCATATTTCACTAAGAATACATTTGGTTGTTTCCACTTGTATTCTCGTTCACAACAGAAGTATCAACATTATCACTGATAATTTGAAATATTAATCATTAATAAAACTATTAATGAAGAGAGAATAAGTTGATGGAATAAAAAGTGTAAGTATTTTAAGATCTGCTCTATTGCGAACAAGCTCCCACACACTTATTCTTATGAGAATCTCAGTTCAACCTTTAGTCATACACTTAAAGTATAGGAATTTTAATCAATACTGCCCTTATCGTGATAATTACATGTAAAAATCTGTATTTATCATTATTATTATTATTACTATTATTTCTATATGCAGCCTATAAATCGTCCAGTACACATTACAGCACCTTTACGTATACCAACCAAACTGGCCGCAGCACTTCCATTTGCGTATAAACCTAAGCCATCACGTAAAGAAGCATTAGCTATGCTTGGTGGAGATCCTGTAAAAGCTGCTTTAAATGCTGAAATACCTGCTCCAGTTAAAACTGCTGATGAAATGGAATCTGAGTCAAGACAAGAATTAATTATGCGCCTACGTCAATTACACTCAGATTTTATGCAACGCCAAAAAGAGAAAATGATTAATCGTGTAACAAAACACAAGAAACAATTAGCTAAAGAAAATGCCATTAAAGCTGCTAATGAACGTAAAAGACGAAAACAATATTTTGCTCGTAGATCATCCCGTGGCGGTAAACGTGCTCGTCGATCAAATGGTGAAGACTAAGCAAATACATCTCAAAGATCATTTCATACCTTGTACAGTATATTAATGATATTTCAAATGTTTTTTTGTTTTGGCTTTCTACTTTGTGATTCGAAATATTCGATTTTGAATGGTTAAGTTGTTAGTTCAAAATCTCATCCCATCTACTTCGAATTGAATAAATGTGAATATGATCATTAGTCTTCATACATAAGTTTAGCTCAAAGCCCCAAATAGACGAATCTACAGTGTTGGTTACTGTGCTTAACTTGGATATTGATCACACGACGTGAGTAAATGAAGTGTATTTACTCATCTGAGCACTGAACGCTGATAGCAAAACTTGTTCTTCGATGTTGATATGGGAGCCTCTAATACAACCGCATAATTACTAATACTACGAAGGTCTATTCGATGCACCCGGATAAAATGAACAGCACTTTGACTATGATACAGCCTGACGTATATAAAAACGGAGGTGACTAGTCTTTCTGGGATAGTTTTCGTATCTCAAGAAAAACCTATGTTATAACTAGTAATGAGTAACCAGTCAGAAAACGGGTTAAGCTATACGTATCGTTTCATAATTGTTGTCACATGTTATTTGATAAACAATGGTATCAATTTGAAATGATTAGAATAAATGTATTTGAGAGAGGAGCGACCTTCAACATCGACAAACTTAGGCTGTTATATTAGAAGGTGGTCACATAATCAATCTGAAATTTAATGTTCGTTTATGGATACAACTCATGTTATCTTAGTTTTTCTGTTTAGTTCTAAATCAAGTATAGAAATTCATCAGAAAAACTCTTGTTCATTGGACCAACATAATTAGACAAGAGGATGAGCAGTTTAAACAAACTGATACCCTAAAACACTTGCGTCTAAACTTTATTATACAATTACATCTAGCTTTATTAAATTTTGATTATTTCCTAGAATAAACGTAATCTAAAAGTTCAGATAATGTGTTGAAAATAATCAATAATTCATTGTAAGATGTTGGGGGGAGATTTGTTGCTCAAGTAGATGATTTTAATGGAATTTTGTCCTTCGAGCTGAATGATTTTGACACGACCAAACAAAACTCCATCAAAAAATATATTCATTGTTCACTACATACATAGTCCTCAATATCTATGAAACTATTCGTTTAGATTATTGACCATAATATTGGTATAATACAACACCATTTTTTAAAGTGTTCTCCACTTAATCAATTATGAGACTTGTTATTCTAAAGGAAACCAATCACATAAAACTAACTATCTAAACAATTGTTCCTCAGAGAATACTGAAACTCGTAAAGTTAGGTACATTCATCATTATGACACGTAATGCTAAACCAGTCACTATTTGAAACAAAGGTTGATATTAATTGTGATACATGGATTTAAATTGTAATGTATTTGATTCTAGGATAAGTTGATTGTCTAGTGTTTCTTCATAATTCTCTAATGATTCGTTATCCGACATTGATTCTTGATGAAATCTGAAGTTTGTTCGAATAGTACAAAACCTTTTGTTTTCTGTTTGTATTTCAACTCATTCAAGAAGCAATTTTTTAATAGTATCCGTAACTCATGATGTTGACAGTTTTTAGCTAGTAAACTTGTACAATATTTATGAATACGACTCTACTTAAGGAAAGATTGTTTTTTTATTTTTAAAAAAGTCATCAGATATATTATTCTTGGAATATACTCATTGATACACGATTCCTTTTTTTAACATTCATTAATTTCTATTGTTAATACGTAGACTTGTCTTCTCTACAAATGTTGGAACCAGTCAGTCAGGATCAGGCACATATATGCATGAGTATGTATGAGTATCAAACGTATAGTACTCATTATTATGTCTCAGTCAGTCAGTTACATCGTAGGATCAGGCACATATATTCATCGGTCCAAGTTGCTATACCTCATTAACACAACAAGATGAACACCGGATTCCTAGAAGTAATTACTTTAATGGTAGTAATATATAAAAGAAAGATTGCATATAAGCACAAAGTATAGCAAGAAAAAAATAGTTCGTAGAAATAAAGATATGAAGCGATTTGAATCTCATAGTTTAAGAGAAGACAGATAGTGTATTCACCTACGCCATTGTTATTGATTTTGAGACATGTCATCTACAGTCTCCAACCATTGGTTAGGATAGTCACGCGGACCTCGACCAAGTAGTGTACATCTACCGACATGGCTTAGACTAGAAGTCAGTGAGTTCAAGCACTGATGCAACGTCTTGGTTTGGCCACCCGGTCTCGAAACATTGGTTGCGATACTTGCGCTTTTCTTACATGTAAGCTACAAATTCGATAATGTTCATAGATCTTATCTGCTAATATATTATAAATGTCTGATAGTTCAGAATGTGTTAGATGTATTATTACAATTCAGAGAATGAATGAGCATACTACAAGCGTATGTAATCGAATTAAATGCCTCACATTGTCGTGTAACACAGTTTTGAAAAGTTGTTGGTAATGACAATTTTATTCGACAGATCAAAATCTATATGTTAACACTTTTTTTATTTTGTTGATAGATTTCTAAACACAATGTAAATAGTAATACTTATAGGGTGAAATTGACACAACATTTTTACATACTACTGACTCCTTTTACCCCTCATGAAGGAGAATAGGTCGCTCATACTAGCATTCTCCATCCAAAGTTGTCCTAGACAATACTTTCCAGTTGCTATTCATCCTTTTCATATCTGCTTGCAATTCCGGACGCAGTGTGTTCTTTGGCCCTTCCCCTTTTGCGTTTCACTTCAGTATCCCAAGTTAGGGCTTGCTTCATGATGCAGTTTGATGATTTCCTCAATGTATATCCCCTTCACTTCCATCGTCTTTTCCTAATTTCTTCTGCAGTTGAAAGCTGGTTTGTCCTCTCACAGAAGGTTGTTGCTGATGGTATCCGGTCAAAAGATATTGAGTATCTTGCGTAGACAACTATTTATAAATACTTGTACCTTTTGATGATGATTGTGTAACGTTATCTTTATTTTTAAAAGAATGATCTCATTCAAAATTTCAATTCACAATAAGAGATGAAAAGTGTTTCATGAAATATCTTAGTCTTTAATCTATAGTAGAGTAGTAGTTTGCCGCCAAATGCCCTGGCATTGCCGAGAGTGGGGTGGCCCGCCCTCCCTCTCGAACTGCTCTCACACGGCCACGCGTATACAGCCTCTGCCAGGGAAGTCCTACTCACTGCGTTTTCGTGGCGGGGGTGTCGTTTACGAAAATGAGAGGACGAAAAGCGAATGTCCGGCGCTTTAACCGGATCCCAAACTAATGGTGCACATGGGCTCCAGTATCCTGCGGGAACAAATGACGTATAAACCCGTTGGTCACCAGCTACCATGGGACTGCATCTCCTCACGATGCTCTACTGCCTTGTGGGTTAGACCTTTAGGTCAAAGGCCCGGGGTGTGGCCTGCTGATAAAACCACCCGCTTCGGTCTGGGCACCCGGGCAGTATCACAGCCCACACACACACAAATATGGTGTGGCGCATATATATTTGGTGCCCACTTGTACCAATATTTATGTGTTCAAATAATAAGAGTAGTAGTTTAACACTACTGAGCAAGTACATACTAGAATGAAACAACTGTCCATTACTTTCTAGTTTTAAATAGTTGTTTCATTAAGCTTAGTTCAAGATAATGAAAACGTGAATTTGAAACCAGTTAACTCCAATGAAAAGGGACTGTCAAAATCTTTCTCATGAGTTATTCTTATGATTACAGACTTTTGAAATGAACTTGTGTGTGTGTGTGTGTGTGTGTGTTTAGATTAGAGAAACACCTCTAATTATAACTTACTGAGGTATTTTAAAATTTAGATGATCGATAATTGTGTTCATTCCAATTACAGAATGTGTACATAGTACAAGGTTACAACAACTAATCGAATCTCATTTACATAACTAAAACGTTCAAACTTAAACAAGAACATAGATTCTCAACTATAAACACTGAATTGAATACCAAAATAAAATTTTAAAAAAATAATCCCAAAGATCTAACTTGTAATATGGGCTACTTCGTTGAATTTAGCAAAGAAAAGAACTACTGAACTTAGGTTTTGTACTCTTAAAGATCTATAATCAGTGAATTGTCCTGATAAGTCTATTATTTGAACGCTTGACAATGACTTCACTTTTGAGATCTATATAACTTTTATGCACTTGAGCTTAGAACGGTAAAGAGAAAGTGTAAAGTGAATATAGAAGATTTAGTTACAGAAAACATTAGTACTTACAGATTTTATTGAAAATCTAAGCTCTTTTAAGTCAAGTGACATAATAAGTAATGATCCAATCCGATACAATCTGTTGTGGCGTATGCTGATTGGACAAAATGTTTCCAATCTCTTTTACTAGTTTCTGAAAGCATTATTTAGCAAATCTATGATCTATTTAGCAAGTCTTTGTTGTTTCTTATCTCAAAAGGTTCAATAGACTTCTCCATTGAATACTATTTAGTGGTCGTTTCTATGATTTTCTTCTGTGATAAATGGTTCAATGTCATTTTGTTTTGGTTGAATATTGTGTATGTTTTTTTTTTAATAAAAAAAAGCCTTCATTCCCTTATTGATTCCAACCAGTAAATCAATGATTCTTTCTTCTGATATTTATTCGGTTGAAATAAAGAGATCCGTCACGTAATTAAGTAATCAGTTAAATGCCTTCAGATACTCATGTATTTTAGTTGTTCCGTTTTAATTTGTAACAGATAAACAATACACTACTATAACTACAGATAAAAGATTAGACTTAAGATATTCATTTATTCAATGTATATAACATTTTAAGATCAGTAAGTTATAACTCAAGAAGCTACAAGTATTTATGAATAGTTGTCTACTCATGATACTCAACATCTATTGGCCGAATACCATCAGTAACAACCTACTGTGGGAGAGAACAAACCAGCTTCCAGCTGAAGAGGAAATTAGGAGAAGACGATGAAGTGAATAGGAAGGGATGCGGAATAGA